TCAGCACCTCTTCGACTGTTATTGAGCAGTCGTTCAACAACCTATTTTTTGAGGTGGTCCTATTTGAGGAAAATAAGATTCTATCAACATTCTATAATCTAGTGGGAGTATGAGAAATTGTTTTCTGAATTATTTCCAACGGGTTCCGACTGTCCGTCGACGGACCGTCGACGGCCCGTCAGTTCTTCTTCGGCTGCCGACTAGCAGTCATTCGCCAGTTTGCGCCTCTTCAGCTGTCATTTAGCAGTTTTTCAGCAGTCCCCCTTTACCTGTGGAGGGGACACTCCCGAGTTCAAACTTTCTTGGGACGAAATGCTTTTTGATTATTCTTCGAGAGTGTTTGCAGTTATATATACTAGTCCAAGTAGTCCCAGGATACTTTTAGGGGTTTTCGAAAATTCAGAAATGCGTATTTTCTGCAATAAACCCCCTTTTTTCTAAGTAATAAATTTTAAGCTTATTTTGAAATTGGGAGACTGTGAGCATGATTTTTGAATGTTAGATGTTTGAAGTTTGAAAATTCAGAATTCCAGATTTTCTGAATTTCAGAATCCAATTTTCAGAGTCCTCAAAATTTCCCAATTCCCCCGAACTTGAGCTCATTCCGTTCAAGTTTTTGTTCTCAACAAATCAACGCGTTCAGAAAATTGTTATTTTCATCGTCATACGCTACGCATTCCATCCGATGGGAAATGCTCAAAAATGTTCTAGAACTATTTTCCCTTCGTGTCCTGTCCCTTTAAAAAAGTGCGCACACAAATATTTTGTTATGATTATACATCGTGCAGCAACTGACACGAAAAATGATAAAATTGTAGGGTTTCAGAAAATTTGAGATTTGATTCTCATATTTCGCTAATCAGTTATGGGAACTTTTTCGAGCGGTAAAGAACATGCGATTTCGTAAAAAAGTGCAGAAAGATTTGTGTTGAGATCAGATTTTAAAAAAAGAAGATGTTATATTTTTCCAGGAAAAGGGCAAATTACGACTGATGAGATGTTACAAATTAAGATAAATGACTAGAGAATATTCTGGAATATAAGAAGTTCCGATTATGAGACAGTTTTGAAATGATGAAATAGCGGAATTGTGTAACTCAAAAGTCTCAATCTTAAAGTCAGCAATTTTGCAAAAAGAAAATTCTGTCCATACTAATGAGAGCTGGGCGGAAGCCAGACCACCCATGTGAAAATGGGAGTGTGCAAAATATGAAATAACAAATCTAGGAAAAAAAAATTAAGACATTCTTGAAAACAAATCATTTTCCGTTTTTCCGACTCAAATTTTGTTCAAAATCTCATTTTCCCGGACCCCAATTATTATTCATATTTGCAAACGGGCTCTGGCGGGCTCTATCATAGTTTCTTTTAGGATCGATATTTTTCAACCATCTCAGTCACATATAATAGAATTCGACGAGCACTACAAAATGAAACTATTTGAGAATTTGTATCTTGTCAACTGCAAATTGGGGCCCGGTGGGACCTCGGCGGTTTTTTTCGGCCCGTCTGGTCTGTAACTTTGTTCACAGACATGATGCATGTGTACCAAATAATATAGTTTTGTGATGCTCGTTAAGTTCTATTATATCTAACTTGGTTGGTGAAAAAATACTGATCCGAAAAGAAACTAGGGCAGGGCCCGCCAGGTCCCGTTTTGGGCAATTTTGCAAGTATGCAATTATCCCTATTTTTATAATTTTAGCTAGACGAGTCTTAAATTCTTTGATATCCTTGTCTCCCTTACGTAACAAACTCTATAAATCTGATGAGTGGGAAGATGATCCTATTGGAACTCTCCTAGGGTATACGGTATCGGAAAATAGACATGTTGGAAGGTAAAATGAAGATTTTCAGTTTTAGCAGGTTCTGAAACTCCAGAAAAATAGATATAGAACTTCCTAGATCTTTTCAATTTTTTTTTCGCTTTCCCGACTAATAGAATCTTTTGATCTTTCTAAACCAAATTTTCAGTTGTTTTTCCTTGTTTCCAATCAGTGTCTAGCCATTTTCGTAGTTTTGTATTCAACCTTTAAAATTGCCAATAACATGTTTTTGTTCAATTATTCCTACATTTTCTAAAAGTTCAAAATATGGATATTGTCTTTCGAAACAACACAAATCGTCACAATGTTGTTTCTATGAAAATGTCTGAAAATTACTATGCGTGAAAATCCTGAAACCTTTCTTCTGAACGAACATTATGACATTATGTTTAAAAATATGAAATTTGGCTTCCCACTGAAATCCCTTACTCTGAAAGTTTCAAGTGTTCAAGAATCCCCAATTTTCTGAAATTCGAATCAGGCACACTTGATTAAACTGAAATTATGTTCTGAACATCTGAAAAGGGCGGAGAAGCGTTGGAAATTGTATATTTTGAAGTTTCAAAAGTTCAGCACCAAAATTCAAATTGAGATCGAACATGTCTAAATTGCTTGTTATTGAAAAATGGAGAAAATGAAGTGAAGATGATGTTATGATTCGAATTTTGCAGATTCTGAGATTCCAAGATTCAGAACATCGATATTGAGAACTTCTGGACCATTTTGACAGTAAATTTTGGCGTTGTTTTTTTCTGAATTCTGCCTTCAAAACGTTGTAAGAATCTTCCCAGATGGAGCAACATTTTTTTTAACCTCGTCACTTCTATTTTTCTTGGTTTTTTTTGGAATTCTCTCACCCACTTTGGGAGTTTCGTTGTAAAAACAAAATGTTGTCATCGTTTTGGGATCAAAAATAAGCTTTTCAAAATGTTTCTGTTTTCTGCTTACGATTCGAAAATTTTTGAGCCTTTGAAAACTCGAAATGCGTAAGTTAAAGGTAGTGAAACAGGAGATTTTTCGTAAGATTTTTGTAGCTAGGGTATGCATTCTACCGTCACGGGCTCAGTCGGTAGCGGCGCCGCACCTTCAATACTCGCCTCGACAAGTTCAACTCGAGGAGCATATTTGAACGGAACTTCGACAACATTATTTTTCTCATGTCTCCCCACCTTTAAAGAGGGAATCCGACCAAACTTTTTTTGTATTAAAACGTTTCAAAAGTTATCTATTTTTCGAATATTATTGCGAAAAAATTCGAAAGAAATCCGAAATCCCCAAAAAACGCCGTTCAAAATGAAAACATTTCAAAAAAGGTGCCGACGAGGGACGAGGATTTGAATTCCCGCGCAGTGAGAAACCTAGGCCACGGCGCCTGATAGCATTATTTTCAAGTGGCCGACAGTGTTTTTAATGTTTTTTACCTGTCGGAGATAAAAGCGAAAAAAATTCGGAAAAATTGTCCGGTAAGAAAGTCGAGCCGCTCGCGTGGCCTAGGTTTCTCACTGAAAATCCTCGTCCCTCGGCGGCATCTTTTTTTGAATTTTTTTTCCTTTTCAACGGCGTTTTTCGGGGATTTCGGATTTTTGGAAAAAAAAATCGCAATAATATTAGGAAAATAGATAACTTTTAACACATTTTAATGCAATAAAAATTTGACCGGAGTCCCCCTTTAAGGGCACAAACTTTCCCGAAATCCCAAAATGTACAAAAAGTACAAGTTTCAAAAGAGGTCAAACCATAATCAAAATATGGAAAAGTGTGAAATCTAGTGATAATTTATTAGTGCAAAACTGATAAACAAACTGATTAGAAGCCAAGAGAAAAACAAAATACAAAGGAACTAGTTGTTTGCATTTTTGATAAACAAAAGTTCTCTAGACGTTTGGAAAATGGAGCAAACTAGAAACTTGTAGAACTACCGTAACCCGAAAATTACGAAATTCTAAAAGTCAGAAACTTGTTATTCGTATACTCAATAACAATTAATACATTCCAATCCCTTGATTACTCTTGAATACAAAAATTACAAAGTACAATGATATATTCTACTTTTTAAAGAATATTCAAATATATGGCTGATTTTTTGATTTTTTGAGGTCAAACGAAAATCTACAGTAAACCTTGTTTGTTCGCTTTGGATAATCCCATGGGATGTGCTGGAAATGTGTACGGATGGAATTCGAATTGTCTCTCAAACTATAATTTTTGTAGTTGTACCATTCCATCTCCCAATTTTTGAATCTATAAGATCAAGAAGACTATTTTACTAAAAAATAGAATAATTCTTTAAGAATGATCCAGAAGAAATTAGCACAACTACAAATACCCACAGATTACTCACCAAGAAGAAAATTAACTGAAAAGGGCTAAGGAAATCAAAAATTTAGATATCAAGAAGTTTGTTATTCAATTTTTCCAGAAACTACTAAAAAGGGTGGGAATCCAAATTCTGAAAATCTGCAAAAAAAGGAACTTCAAAAAACAACACATCTTGAGAATTTATGTTCTTGAAAAATGAACTTTTTGGTTTGGAATATTTTTCAGATTGTTTTTTTTTCAGACTTTGATCTCAATGAGAACAAAAAGGAGCATAGTTCGGAATCCACCAATGCGATAAGAATATTTGAAAATGCAGGAATCCGAGAATCCAAGAATTTAGAAATCCAGGAACTTGGGTATCCAGATATCCAGGAGATCAGGAATCCAGGATTCTGAGAATCCAAGTATCCTGGAATTTAGGAACTCACGTATCCAGGAATCGATTAATCCATAAGCCCAGAACTATAGTAATACAGGAATCCAATTTCAGACATTTTCAGACAAACCCTTCGCCGCGTCACTGATCAAAAAATCGTCTAACCTCTTTTCCCCAAAATCGTCAACCTTCAATTTTCAAAAATGTTCTGCTCTTCATCTTTGTTCACTGTCCTTCTTCAACTTGTTTTCATTCTCTTGAAGGTGTCATCTAATTGTCCCCTCCCTCTTCTCGCCAGCTGACGTCTTCTTGCTCCCGCCCTTCTCATGCTCCAATCCTAGTTCTCGCCCTTCTAGAGTTCTTCGGCGCCCTCTCTGTCCCCTTAGCTCCGCCCCAAATCTTAGCTCCGCCTTCAAATCTGGAACTCCTTAAAAGCTGCTGAAATCTAATCTTACCCTTCATCCTTCCCTTCTCCCAAAATGAAGTTCATCACCCTCGCCTTCTTCCTCGCCTTCATCATGGCTGTCCACACCTTCAATCTCAAGGAATCCTCCGACCATATGGAATCTCTCGAGGAGCAGCTGGAGGAGAACCAGGACAAGCAAGCTCAACTCTACGCCAAGATGTTCCAGGACATCCATGAACTTCAGAAGTATGCCAAGAAGGTTCGCGCTCGTAGAGGATCGTGTGGCTTCAAGCTCCTGGAGAAGATCGCCGAAGTCTGTGGTGATATCTGTAAGTTCAAATCCAAATCTTTACTTTCCTAAAACAATTATTTTTCAGCATCTGGATCGGAAGTGGACTTGGCTACCATTTGTTGCTCGAAGCAGTGCCCAGACAGCTTCATTCAAGCTTCGGCGTGCCCAGACAAGAAGGCATAGATGTCGCCCGTCTCCAGGATCTCCGTCCGATCTCACATCTCACAATTCATTCTAATTCTTTCCCCGCCCCGATGATCTTTTTCCCTACAGTCCGTTGAAATTAAATTTGAATGAGCAGTTGAAATAATAAAGTATATATTTGCACTTGTTGAAGAAATAGTTTGAAATTTTTCTACAGGTGGTCGTCAGAAGTCTTCGTTAAGTCTCTCTTCTGGGGACATATGTAAAACATTTACAGAAAAATGACACCAAAATTTACATCCAAAAGGGTTCAGCAATTCAGAATCTTCGAATTTCAGAATCTCCAGATGTTATATCATCTGAAATTCATTTTCCACTTTTTCATTAACAAGAAATTCAAAAATGTTCGGTTTCAATTTCAGCTGAACTTTTGAAACTTCAAAGTATTATGCTTGTCTGAGAAAAAAAGGTTGAGACGCAGAGAAAATGTGTCTGCGTCTCCACCGTTTGTGCGCTATTTAGGCTCTCCGCTTCGATGTCGCTACCGTATTCAGACTGCAAAAAATACTCTCTAACCTTTTTTTCTCAGACAAGCATAATATACAATTTCCAACATTTCCCTGTCATTTTTCAGATGTTCAGTACATTATTCCAGTCAATTCAAGTGTGCTTGATCCGAATTTCAGATAATTGAACGCTTGAGTTTTTTGTCAACAAGTTTCGAGATTCGAATTTCTTAATAAGCGGGATTTTTGAACACTTGAAACTTTATTGAAACAAAGAAAACTTGGAATTTCAAGATTTCAGTAGTTAATTGAATAAAAAAAACATGATTAGGAACATCATGTGAGTCAAGGAAAATGACTCAAAATGAATCAGAAAGGTGTGGGAAAGAAGAGTACTGTAGTTGTTTAAGAGTATGTCTCGAATTGTTTTGGTATAGTGTGGGGAAATTGGAAATTGAACAAAGATCAGGAGAAAAGGACAAACATAGTAAGGAGCGAAGCGACGAACAATCAAAAACTAGATTAATTCGCGCCGAAGGCGCACCAGCCAGTTGTTTGAAGCGCCAGAGGCGCGGCAAACAGGCTGGTAATTAAAAAATAAAATAAAATCTAATCAAGTAATCTGAATGAGTCTCTCGAAAAGTTTCGCCTTGGTCTTTAACTTTTTGGCTTTTTCAATAGTATCCACTTGATGAATCGTCTTTTTCAGCAGCAGCTCCAGACTATACTTGTCAGCCATCCACATTTTCTTCTCATTTTCAATTTGAGAGACGTTGATGAGATGGTTCTCAACCTGACGGAAAACCGAAGGCATTATGAAACGATCGACAAGTTCCAGAAGTTTCTCAACCGGTGGTGTCTGTAATTTTTTGAATTAATTTGTATTTCAGAACTACCATAACCCGAAAATTCAAGACATCAAAAACTTGTTATTCATATCTTCCTTATATATATATATATAAAACGCTACATGCGCCCGTTGGTCCCGATGTCACTCTGTCCGCTTTTGAAAAACTTGAAAAATAAATACGAATTTATGTGACCCTTTGGGAAAAAAAAATAAGGAGCGGAGCGACCAAACAGTAAGAACACTAGTTTAAGGGGCGCACCAGCTTGTTTTAAATAACAAGTAATACATTCCAATCCCTAGGTTACTCTTGAATACAAAAATTACAAAGTAAAATGAAAAATTCTACTTTCAGACAATTTTCAGAGATCAAACGAAACATCTAAAACTCAAAAATAGAAACGTACAGTATCCCATGGGATGTGCTGGAAATGTATGTGGATGAAATTTGAATTGTCTCTCGAAAAAATATTGTTTTGTAGTTGTCCTATTTGATTTCCCAATTTTGGATTTTGTAAGATCGAGAAGACTATTTTACTGAAAAGTTAAAAATATTATTCTATAAAGAATGCTCCAGAAGAAATTAGTACAACTACAAATACTACAGTTTGCTCATCAAAATATGATCCAGAAGGAAACTGGAGCTGATCTATTGCAGTGTGCCTTATCGACAAATGATTTGTTTTTTTTACACCTTTCCAGTGTTATAACTGGAAAAGTTTCTTCTCTCTAATAAGATGATTTTTATTTGGAGTTTCGATGTGATGCCCCTGAAAAAAATCAATGTGATTTGAGAAACTTTTTCAGGACATTACAGGGTGAGGAATAATTATAGCTCCCAAACTTTGCCTAAGCTCTGGCGCCTGCGAAACGGTCTGCTTTGCACACAGTAATATTTTTTTTGCTTCATTATTTCGTTCTAAACAATATCTGAAAGTTTCAGGCAATTATTCAAACTTTGAAGGTAATGGTGACTGTTTATCCACACCACACTCCTAGTACGGAGCGCGCGATAAAGGGGTGAGAACTTTAGAGATCGCTAAAAAACTTGGTGTCAGGAAATCAGTGGTCAATCAAACATCCGTTCGGTTCAGAGAGTTGGGAACTTCCAAGAATATAAGAAAAAGCGGTCATCTGATGTTTGGGACGACTCCTGAAGTCGTCAAAGCCGTGAGAGAGAAAATCAGTAGGAGTCACAAAAGAATCATGAAAAAAATGGCGTCTTAGTTTAGAATGTTACCCAAATCAATGAGAAATATTCTCCGAAAGCAGCTCTATATGATTCCATATCGAACCCACAAAGGCGCTTTCCTAACAGACCGTAACGAGAGGTTACAACTGGAAAAATTCAAAGATCTCTTTTGAGGCACGCACTTGAAGACCGTTTTTCACAGATGAAGTTGCTCACTGTTGAGGTAATCAAGAACGGCCAGAACAATTGAATAGTGGCCATCAATTATTATTATAGTGCATGTTGACGTTTGAAAATCCTGAATATAACTTCTCACCCGGTCACGGTGACCGTATTTGGTGAGATGTGCTCAAATGGTAAAATTTTGTCGATTTTGGAGCTAAGACCGACAAAAATTCTACACCGAGCGGATTTTGAAGTCGGAGGTGCTGCCACAGTCCCAACCACGTCTTTTGAACAGCAGTTGGACATTCTAACAATACGGAGTGCCTGCACACACTGAAAAGCTCACTTGTCAGTGGTTCCAAGCCAATTTTCCGGATTTTCTCACTAAGGATTGATGGCTAGCTTCCAGTCCGGTACTCATTCCAACGAACTTTTTGTTATGAAAATATCGGACCCAATAAGTCTCCACAAAAAATTATCCTAATTCGGAAGCTCTGAATAGATCCTTGACCGCGGCATGGGACAATTTGGACATCAGCCACCCCCCTGCCGTAGTCGACTCCTTCTTGAAGAGAATTCGAGCTGTTATCAAAGCAAAGGGAGGAAGGCTCAAAACCTGTTGATGCTATCTTTTTTTGTTGTCTCTTAATGAACATTTCGGTTGAATTTCAGAAAAAATCTTTTGATTTGATTTTTTTACACTCTTGAAAGCGGCGCTATATTTATTCCCCACCCTGTAAAGCGAATGTTGTTTTCCCGGGTTGCTCATGGCTTTTAGTCTTCTGCATTTTTTTCCAGAATTTTCCAAATCTTTTTGAAAACTTCGATGACGCCTAGTCATAACTTTTTTTGAATATCGTCACCAATTACAACGTTTTTATGTGTGCTTTTCCCCCGTTGTCTTAATGAGTACCTTTCCTCGAAGATCGCTAGACAAGTTGAACTATTTGGAGGAGTTAAAGGTGGGGGGACATGAAAAAATAATGTTCTCGAAATTCCGTTCAAAGATGCCCCTCGAGGAGTTGAACTTGTGAAGGCGATGATTGAGGGTGCGGCGCCGCTACCGACTGAGCCACGCGGGCAAAGAGGAAGCGGTAGCCCAATTGCATACATAAAGGCGAGGACGACAGGTGTACGCAGAGTGACATTAAGCGTTGTACACCGTGACGGTAGAATGCATACTCTAGCTACAAAAAAACTACGAAAAATCTCCTGTCCCCCCACCTTTAAAGGTTTGTTCTCTTCTTGATCATATTTGATGAGTTATCTGAAGTTTGGCGTGGTTTTTGTTGTCTGAAGCACTGATTTATGAGGAAAAATGGAAGTGATAGACATTTAAAAATTCCTACAAAAAATTGTTCAAGAGTTTAGTGATACCGATTAAAAATGGGGGGGGGGGGGGGACCTTCAAAAATGCTCCCAAGAAGTTGAACTTTTTTGGGTCTATGACTAAACGAGGCTTCTGGGATCGTATTGGTGCGAGGAAGAAACTGCAATTAATACGTCAATGTCTGGAAAGGTAAATTCGTAAACAAATGGAGACGTTGATGGTGTGGGAATATTCCGTTGATTTTTTGAGAAGCTTGGAACTCAGAAAACTGGCAACATAAATCTCCAAGTACTAGTTTGATTTGTATGGTGTGGGAAAATCATTGATTTAGTATTTTTGAAATTGATCATACAAGAACATTTCTAAAGATTGAAGACGTGAGAATGTTCTGGAATGCTAATCAGCAGGTTCCAAACATACAATTACTCCATGAATTACTGTTGCCCTCTTGAGAATCTAGCGACATTTGTGCTTTTTTTTCTGCTGTTTACATTCGACACCCTAAATTATGACACGTCAGAGTTGAGAGGATTGGAAGGCTGAAGGAGAGCCTTCAGAAGACAAATAGAGTTAATGAACGCCAAAAATAAAGGTTTATTATGATTCAAATTCATGATTCAAACAACGGGAGATGAAGAACTGGGGTGGGGAATGCGATCAACGGAAAAAATGATGATGTTAGAGAAGACAAACTGGCGACGGGAGAATTTTAGAGCCACACACGGGGCACACTCTTGACTTGATGAAGTGTTCTGAGCATTCCGAGCGGTAGGAAGTAAACGTTATCTCTACACCAGTATCGCTGACTGAAACAAATCAATGAGTATTAATAAAAAAAATATTAATTGGCGTTCTGGGCTCCTTGGATGTCGTTGAAGATGTTGAGATAGAATTGGTATTCGAACTTACTCAATTCTCGACAGTGTCCCGCAATCTTTTGCAGAAGTATGAACCCACAGCCGAGACGGCGGGATGTTCTTGGCGTTCTGGGGTCCTTGGATGTTCTTGAAGATTTTTGAGAAGAAATTGGCTTGGTTGTCGCTCATGGACAACTTCTCCGAGTTGGAGATGGAATAGGCCATACCTATTGTTAGGGAGAGAATAAGGAGAAAAGTGAGTGTATTCATATTGAAGTTGATGATGGGGAAGTGAGAAGAGCTTTCGATGAGAAGCTTTTCGGTGGTGAATGAGACTTTGACTGTAAATTGGCGCGATTTAAGCAAGAAGAGCGGAGTTAACATTTTCAGATAAAGGCGGAGCCCTTGGCGCGAAAAGCGCGATGAAACCAGAGTAGAAGGTTGCGATTAGACGACAATTTTGAGTTGGAAAAGGGCGCTGAACAAAAAGCAAATGGTAACATACAACATGTTTTGTGATTATTATGATGTGAGAAGATGGAAATCGTACGAACTTTTGCAAAAATCTATATAACAAGTAGTGAATTTCAAACGTTTTAATTTTCACATCAAAGTACTGAAATTTCAAAAATTTTTGTGAGCCACGTGAATCTTTTGAATCTCCCAAAAGATGGACCGTTAAGTTTTTGGGAGCAACGTGTTTTTTCAAAAAATATAACAGAAATATTAACACTTTCTGAATATTTTTCCCAAAATTAAAACTTTTGAAAATCACTACTTGTTATATATAAGATCTTATATTAGAAATTGAACTTTTTGGGTCTATGGCTAAACAAAACCTCTAGGATCATATCGGTGTGAGGAAGAGACTACAATTAATACGTCGATGTTTTGAAGGGTAATGTCGTAAACAAATGAAGACGTTGATGGTGTGGGAATATTCCGTTGATTTTTTGAGAAGCTTGGAACTCAAGTAGAGAGAGAAAATAGGCAGCATACGGCTGTGTTTTGAAAACGCTGCGTTTCGCCGCCGTTTTTCGGCTGCGCTGTGAGACGGCGGAAAGCCGATGGCCGCCGGCGTTTTCCCAGCCCTGCTTTTATTATTGGAGCCCGCTGATTAGCATTCCAGAACAATCTAACGATTTTAACCTTTAGGAATGTTTTTCTAAGATCAATTCCAAATATGTTCCAAAAATAAACTTTATCTCAGGATACTCGCCCTTATCAAAAACAAAATCACTCAACGATTTTAGTTTCCCACACCATACGAATAGAACTAGTACTTGGAGATGTATGCGGCCTGTTTTCTCTCTCTCTACTTGAGTTTCTAGATTCTCAAAAAATCAACGGAATATTCCCACACCATCAACGTCTTCATTTGTTTACGACATTACCCTTCCAGACATCGACGTATTACTTGTAGTCTCTTCCTCACACCGATATGATCCTAGAGGTTTTGTTTAGCCATAGACCCAAAAAGTTCAATTTCTAATATAAGATCTTATATATAACAAGTAGTGATTTTCAAAAGTTTTAATTTTGGGAAAAATATTCAGAAAGTGTTAATATTTCTGTTATATTTTTTGAAAAAACACGTTGCTCCCAAAAACTTAACGGTCCATCTTTTGGGAGATTCAAAAGATTCACGTGGCTCACAAAAATTTTTGAAATTTCAGTACTTTGATGTGAAAATTAAAACGTTTGAAATTCACTACTTGTTATATAGATTTTTGCAAAAGTTCGTACGATTTCCATCTTCTCACATCATAATAATCACAAAACATGTTGTATGTTACCATTTGCTTTTTGTTCAGCGCCCTTTTCCAACTCAAAATTGTCGTCTAATTGCAACCTTCTACTCTGGTTTCATCGCGCTTTTCGCGCCAAGGGCTCCGCCTTTATCTGAAAATGTTAACTCCGCTCTTCTTGCTTAAACCGCGAAATATACGATACCGATGAAATCAGTCCAAATAAATTCCATATCGTTTTCCAAAAAACTCATATTCAGCCCCCCCTTCTTAGTTTTTTCAACGCGGTTTCCGCGTTCCAGACTTCTAAAAACCCAACATTATTGAATACCCACACTTACTGTTGTTCTAGAAAACTTTGAGAATAATTGAAAAATCTGGAATCTAGAAAGTTTTTTTTTCATGGCTTTATTTTCCAGGAATCGTGGGATGAGCTAGACGTTAAAACGTATTCGTATAGCTTCGAATTGTCTTACGAACAACATTTCTCGTAGCTATGTTATCAGTGCTCCAGAAGACTACAAATACGTCAAACTTCAGATTGCTCATCGAATATGATCAAGAAGAAAACTAAAACTTAAACTTCTCGAAATAACTCAACATGTCTAGCAATTTTCAAGGAAAGGTACTAATTGAGCCAATGGGGAATAGCAGAAAGAAAATGACATAATTGGTGACGATATTCAAACAGATATGTCACTAAACGGCGACACAGAAATTTCCTAAAAGATTTCAAAGTGAAAAAGCTGATCAAAAATACGTAATGCGATGATGTTGTCTATGCTTTTGGATTTCTGTTTGTTTGAATTCAAAAATTAAAAACATTTACTGTGAGAATTTTCCCGGAAAGTGTTCCAAGTGTTCAAAAGTTTTCTGTCGCAAATTGCATGTCACAGAAACTGAGCACAACTTTGAATTATACACTTTCTGTTTTAATTGTAACATCAAACATTCACATGGAAATCGTTTGTTTAAAATTAAAGCAGGGGATACAAAAGAGCTTCCGGGTTTTCTTCGGAGCGACGATGTGCATTATTGAGTGACGGTGTATGTTAATCGGTAGCTTCAGTAGACTGAAAACCATTTATTTCTCATTTCCAACCACCTTTCTGCTCTTTGTACCTGAGATTCCATTCTCCCAAACACATCTACCAAATATTCCCACACAATCAACGTTTTTGTTTGTTTTCAGCTTTACATTTTTCCAGACATTGACGTATTAATTGTAATTTTTTTTCTTCACACCTATATGATCCCAAAGGTTTTCTTTAGTCATAGTTAGATGCTTAAAAGTTGTTTACAGGTACTATCGTTTCACAGAATGATGTATGAGAATCGGAGAGTCTGAAAATTTAAGTACACTGTAATTTGTGTTTATATTCTGTAAAACCTGAAATTGTGTTTGTTTTTCAAACTACATTTTTTAGTAATTGTATGCCATTTTTCAGCTAATTTCGAAGATTTCCATATAATCAACAAATTTATTGTAGGAAATATTAAAAAATGCTGCAAGAGAAATCTGAAAGTTACGAATAAAGTCTGCAGGGATGTCAAAAAAGCACTGAAACAAATGGGGGGGAAGTACTGGGTTGGGGAATGTGATCAAGAACAGAAATTATAAAATTTCAACTGGGGAAGAACACGAATCTGGCGACAGAAGAATTGGAGGCGACATCTAGAGCATTTCTGGACAGACGCTTCTCTTGATGAACTCTTCTGAGCACTCCGAACGACAGCAGATAGAAGCAATATCCACCTCAGTCTCACTGTCTAAAAAATAAATCTTTGATTACTAATAAAAATTACTATTTGAACTCACTCAATTCTCCACAGTATCCCGCGATCTTTTGCAGAAGTTTGAATCCACAGCTGAGACGGCGGGAACGAGACTTCTTGGCGTTCTGGGCTCCTTGAATGTCATCAAAGATGCTTGCGAAGAGGAATGCTTGATTATCGGACTTCTGATTCTCCGGCATGAGTGGCTTCTCCGAGTTGAAAGTGGAACAGGCCGCAGTGATTGTCAGGGAGAGAAGAACGAGAATGGTGAGGGTATTCATCTTGGAGTTGATGAAGAAGAAGTTAGAAAAGCTTCCGGTGAGAAGCTATTCGTGGGTGAATGAGACTTCGACTGGATATCGGCGCCGTTTCAGCAAAATGGGCGGAGCTTCATGCGCGAAAGGCGCGATAAAAATTCTAGAAGATGAAGAAAAGTAAGACGTCAGAGTAGAAGGCGTTGCAATTAGATGATAATTCTCAGTTGGAGAAGGGCGCCGAACAAAGAGCAAATGGCAACAGACAACATGTTTTGTGTAGTCATTGTGATTGGCTTGTTTATGACGTGAGAAGATGGAAATGATACGAACTTTTGAACAGTGGCTCCAGAATAAAAGATTTCTGAAAATAATGAATAACTTTTTTGAACTTCTGAAAAGCAAGCCTGCAAAATAGAGAAGTATGCGTTACGTGGTCGGCAGACTTTTGGACCAATTATGACTAACCAAAACCTTTGGGATCATATGGGTGTGGGGGAAGAAACTACAATTGAAGCGTCAATGTCTAGAAGATTAAAGCTGAAAATAATCAAAAATGTATATAGTGTGTGAATATTGGATTGATGTGTTTAAGAAAAGGTAATCTGGAGCCGAAGTTTTGGAATTCTTAAACTTTTGATGACCAGGAAAAAAAAAGTTTTTGTAAAAACTCCAGTGACGCTTTGCTAGCCAACTTTTCCCGAGTATCGCTACCAATTTTGTCATTTTTGTTTGGGCTTTTTCCCATTGATTTAATTTATGTCATTCCCTGAAAATTGCTAAACAAGTTGAGCTATTTCGAGAAGTTAAACATTCAGTTTTCTTCTAGATCACATTCGATGAGTACCTAAATTGAAGTTTGACGTGTTTGTAGTTGCCTGGAGCACTAATTTCTTCTTGAACTTTTTTTGTAATAAACGAAACTTATTTCTGTGAATTTAGTAGGATTTTCTGGACAAAGTTTAGATTTCTTGGTATGAAAATGATCGCTAGCGTCTCTAGAATCTGTTTTTCGTCAAAAACCGAACTTAATTGCGAAAGTAGCTCAAACGAGGCGGGTGTCTGAAATATTGCTTTTTTGCCGCGCTTTTTCGTAGATCAAAAAGAAGCGACGATTTTCAAATTCTCAGGTCCCACTTTTTTTAATTCGACAATAATACAGCCGTATCCCGTCTCGATTATAAACAATAATAGTTGGAAAGTTCTATAGAATACCTACAAAAAATGTAGTTTTAAAAACAATTCAAAGCTATACGAATAAATTTTCTAGGTTTACCTTTTTTCCAAAAATTTCAGATATTTCGAATTTCAGAAAAGTCTAGAATTGTTCAATTTTCCTGAAATTTTCAGAGTATACTAAACGAAAATAGAGCTTCAAATTTGTAGTTGACTACTTTTTGGTGACATTTCATCCAAATGAGATAAGCCGCTTGAACCCAATCAAGTGCCTTTCAAAAATAGCACTGATCTCATAGTCGGTGCTTAACTTTGATACATTTTTTCTCGGTTCCTGTAAGAGATACCAAAAAACAGTCAACTGATAAAATGTTTGCCTTGATATCGTAAACATTTTTATAGTTAAGAAAAATTGGATATCTCAAAAAAAGAAACGAGATAATTCGGGTCAAATATATCAACTGTGGAAATACAAGTATTATTTAAAAGCGTGGCCAACAAAAAAAAAAGAGAAAAACTACTTTTTTGAATTATAGAAAACAAGAAAACTACGTGAAATGGTTAAAGCCCAGAAAAAGTACTATAAAGGAAAATGGAAGTGGGAGGAATAATCAGTTCTTCCTTTCTCGGAGCTCCGAGGAGGGGAGGGAGCTCCACCTGGAGCCGGGAGCCCGTTTCGGGTTCTTGGGTCCTTGGGTCTTGGGTACATGACCTAGATTCTATTTTTTAGGTCATGACCTAGATTTCAATTTTTAGGTCATGGCCTAGATTTCAATTTTTAGGTCATGAACTAGATTTTATTTTTTAGGTCAGGACCTAGGTTTCAAATTTTAGGTCGGCAAAAAATACTGAAAAGGGTTGGAGTATGATAATGTTCTGATTTCATTGAACATATTTTCAAATAGATTTTCCAGACTTTCGGATTTTCAGGTTCCCAAGTTATCTTTTTTTTTTGTAAAATAAAGATTACTGGAGATTAGACTCCTCTTTTTCAGGCTTGCTTTTCAGATGCTCGAGAAAATCATTCAATTTTTTTCAGAAACTTTTCAGAACTGTCTTCTTAAACTGATCTTTCAGCTACGTCATCCTTGTGAGATCTATTCCGAAAGTTTTCTGAGAACTTTATCATTATCGTCATGATTTTTGTCATTTGTCTACTTGCTATGGATAATTGATAGGTTTAACGAAAAATTCAAACTCCACACCCTCTCAATTATCTAAAATTTCGCAAAACGTTAGAAAAAGCAACACCACTGTTTAAAAGTTCGTACGATTTCCATCTTCTCACATCATAAACAAGTCAATCACAAATTACTCATAAACTACGAAAAAAACAAGTCTGCTGCCATCTGCTTTTTGTTCAGCGCCCTTAAAATTATCACCTAATTGCAACGCCTTCGACTCTGACGTCTTCTTCTTCTTCCTCTTCAGGAATTTCCGTCGTGCCTTTCGCGCCAAGGGCTCCGCCCCAGTCTTAAAGTTTTGACTCCGCCTCTTTCTTTCTGAAACGGCGCCCATATCCAGTCAAAGTCTCATTCACCCACGAATAGCTTCTCACCGACAGCTCTTCTTACTTCCCCTCCATCAACTCCAAGATGAATACCCTCACCATTGTCCTCCTTCTCTCTTTGACCGTTGCTATGGTCCACTCAACCTTCAATTCGGAGAAATCAGCAATGGAGAAGGCCGACAATCAAGCCAATTTCTTCGCAGAGATGTTTAACGACATCCAAAGATCCCCGAACGCTAAGAAGTCTCGTTCCCGCCGTCTCAGCTGTGGATTCAAGCTTCTTCAAAAGATCGCTGGATACTGCGGAGAATTGAGTGAGTTCAAATAGGAATTTTTATAAATACTGATTTTTTTTTATTCAGCCAGCGAGACCGGGGTAGATATCGCCTCCATCTGTTGCCGTTCGGAGTGCTCAGAAGAGTTCATCAAGAGAAGCGTCTGTCCAGAAATGCTCTAGATGTCGTCCACAGTGATCCAGTCGCCAGATGTCTCCCACCAATGTTTACATCTCATCATTTCTTCTGTAAATTGCATTCCCCCCTTCCCCAGTACTTCTCTCCCAATCGTTTGAATCAATCTTTGATCTCCATGCAGACTTTATTAGTAACTTTCATGTTTCATTTTTCTTGCATCATTCTTCAAAACGACTTCCTGCAATAAACTGTCTGATGTTACGAAAATCTTTGAAGTAAACAGAAAACATAGAATAAAATTACTACAAAAATGTAGTTCAAAAGACAAAACTAATTTCAGATTACATTTAGGTTCTCGGACTCTCCGATCCTAATACATCATTCTGCGTAAAACGTTAAGACTTGTAAACAAATTCAAAGCACCTTATTATGATTAAACGAAACCTTTGGGACCAGAAGGGTGTCAGGGAAGTACCTGTAAACAATTTTCAAGCATGTAAATATGACTAAAAAACCTTTGGGATCATGTGAGTGTGGGGGAAGAAACTACAATTAAAACGTCAATGTCTGGAAAAACTTAAAACTGGAAATAAACAAAGACGTTGATAGTGTGGGAATATTAGGTAGATGTGTTTGGGAAAATGGAATCTCAGGAACATAGAGCAAAAAATGGGTAGCTGAAATCTTCAAGAAAGAGAAACCGGACTGGGAGAATTACTTTGTCTTACAGAAGTTTTTGGAGTTTTTTAAATTTCGAATATCTGATCACTGTACACCGTATCGCGATAATGTACACTATCGCAATATTATGATTTATCATTTTAGAAATCCGAATCTGTCATTTCAAAATTATTTTGCCATTTGCAAATGTTACTGAAAAAAGTTAAAATTAGGTGTGCTGACAAAGTTCTCAGAATTTAGGATAATTGAAACATAAAATGTATAATTGAAAGTTGTGCTCAATTTCTGTGACATGCACTTTGCGACACAAGACTTTTGAACGCTTGGGACACGTTTTCAAAAAGTTCACACACAACTTTTTCCTAACTTTTGAACTCAAGCCGAAATCCAAAAGCATAGACTTTTATCATTTTATCACCATATGCAAAAAAACAAGAATTTTCAAAATTCTAAACACTCAAACACCCACATATAATTTTTAGTTTTTTTCAGAACCCTCTAAATCTAGGGGGGGGGGGTTCCTTAATTGCACTGTATTTAAAGGGGGACTCCGACCAAAAATTTTTATTGCATTAAAATGTGTTAAAATTTATCTATTTTCCTAATATTATTGCG